GTGCTGCTGCGGGCGGCGGCGCTCCTGTGTGCCGGGCCCTGAGTGCAGAGCAGGGGCCGGAGTCCGCGCTGGCCGTGACTGGCGGCGCCCTCTCAGGCCCTGGCGCTGCGCAAGTGGAATACTGTTTGCAACTGGGGTCCCAGGGTCACCACCCTGCGGGGGCGCCGCGCAGAGTCCGGCCGCCCCACTGAGAACCACATCCGCCGAGGTGGCTGAGCTGGGCACTACCGGCCCGCCCCGACCCCACCTTCGCCCCGCCCCTCCGCCCCGCCCCGCGCGTCCGCCCCTCACACGGGCTGGCGAGTCCGGCCCTGACCCCTCCCTCGAGGTGGCTATGCAGTGCAGGGCCCCAGGCAGCCCCGGGAGTCAGGAGTGGCCGCCACGCAGGACCCAGCCGCTCATGCGCCACTGTGCGTCTTCTGTTTTTTCAGGATTTATTTATTTATACATACAGAGGGGTGCAGGACAGGTGTGGGGGTGAGAGGGCTCCCCAGAAACAGTGGGGAGCAGGGCAGGCACATGTGCTGAAACCCACTGCTGATGGGAGCAGCAGCGGACGACAGGAGGGGTCTGCTGCGCCCTGGCGGGGGTCCCTCCCTGGCGGGGGTCCCTCCCTGGCGGGGGTCCCTCCCTGGCCCGTGCCACAGCGCTGCGCTATCGCCCCGCACCCTAGGGAGGCCCGGTTTTGTTTTCGGTGAACATTTTAAGGCAGTCACGGCAGTGGCGTGGGGTGCGCAGCACCTCCATTCTGAGAGGAGACTGCCGAGCTCAGGGCTCTGGCTCACGGCAATTTGCTCTGCCCCCCACTTCCGGGCTGTGCCCAGACCGCCCTGTGGGCCCCGCCCTGTGGCCCGCCTCCTTCGCAGCGACGGTCACTCGCTTCGCCACTGCAGCTGAGCGCACCTTGCGGCCGTGTCAGCGGCCCGAGGGGGCCGCTCACCAGGTGTGCCTCCCCCAGGTGAGTGAGAAAATGTAGCGCGGCCGCAGCAAGGCGCCCAGCCGGAGCTCGGCGTGGACGACCGGACCAGCGGCCGCCGGCACCCTTTGGGCCACCCCCACCATGTCCAAGAAGGGCGCGGGCAGCCGAGGGAAGGGGGACAGGGCGGAGGCCCTGGCCGCACTGCAGTCTGCCAACGAGGAGCTGCGGGCCAAGCTCACGGACATCCAGATCGAGCTGCAGCAGGAGAAGAGCAAGGTGGGCGCCCC